TCTGTATGACACAGTGTGACCCTCACTCCTTTTGAAAAATCCTGGTTACTCCCCTGTCCTCGTCTAGGGAAGTCAATAGACTTAAAGGTAAGATTGTTTCGTCCCTGGATATAGCCTACAGGCAACAAAATGCCATCGACCGGCCAAGGGAAACGAGAAGAAAACGGCCGCTTGATTGGCCAGGAAATTTCATGTCACTACCAACGATAGGATTAGACATTTTGAATGGTTTCAAAAGTTGCTTTTTGGTTTTTACAATAGCGAAGTTTTTCCACAGAAAAAAAATAGAAACAACGAAATTTTGAGTATAATTAGGAAAAAAATTGGGCGACGCTAGTAGCAAAGTTTTATACTTTTACCAACTTTATCGATCATGGTGCAAGGGTTGTGCGGTCTTCAACACCTTTTTCGGCTGAAGACACGGTTTGGAAAGGCTCTACAATCAAGTGAAGGACGGGTAAGCTCGGAATCAGATCATAGTAAAGAAATCCGTGCTTGGTATTTTTATTGATTCTGTCTTAATGTACAATGAAATAGTTTTGCAAATCTGACAAAGTTTTCACATTGTGTATGTTACATGAGCTATATGGTTAGCCGCAGGACATCAGCTCTCCTTAAAAGGCGCATGGGCTTCAGAGTCTTCCTTCAACTCGTGCTTGCAATGCTGTACAAGTGCGCTGCATAAGACTCTCTTTTCTTTGATCGCCTGGAATAGAAAACATTCTAATAAGAAAGGCTTCTGATTTGTAAGTAAATATTTTTTCAGGGGGAAATTCTTTCAATTGAAAATTCCACAATAATACAAGGATAAAGATTGCATTCATGTCAGATATTTTTATGTCATGATTTTTTCCCAGCGTTTTCTTTAAATCTATCTAAAAGCTATCACATTATTTTCTGTATTTTTTTTCTGTCATATTTGTCATTTACCCCGTGGTGGATCAAACAGGTTAGACTCGTAACATGTTTCATCATGGTGTTCAACAATGAAAAACTCAGCCACCAAAAGGTCGAAATAGTTTATTTTCTGAAAATGATCTCATCCTCGTACGAAAAGAATTCAAGGTGATTCTTCAGTATTGCACTGCACAACCTGTACTGCACTTAAAAATCACATTATTAGTGGAATAAGGTCCGCGCATTCCAAGAACACTATAATGTTTTTCAATCATCGAACCAGGTGAAGAGATGCAGTGGTCTCCAGCTACTGAACGAGCACAATGACTTACTAGAAATAACAATAAAATTCATCGAAGGATAAAAAAAGATATAATCTAAAAGCATGCACGAAAGCCCGTTACTCGAGGATGCAAATTATGACCTTGAAAGGAACGACTCCTGAAACGTTTGAGTCGATGTTATTTAAAAGTACGTAATTTTTCCTCAAATCATGTATCAAATTTTTTCAAACGCATGAGACTGTCTACCCATCAAGTTTTTTTCAAGAGTTACTTTAAAAACCCTTGATTCTAGCCACCGCAAAATAAGCTGTGGACCGATGAACTGACGCGCGTGGTTAGTGCCAGTACGGTCACGAATGGGATGGGTTTTGCCCCTTATATTTCTTAAATAAGCACGGTGATCAATTTTTTTTTGTACTTTTCGTAAAAGGCATTGGTAGTGAAAATATAAGGAAATTAAAAAACAAAATTTTCGATAAGTTTTTCTTCTGAGGAATCATCTTAAAAGATACAAAGATGGCAAAGCCCGCGAAAATGTCTGTTTGAAAATGAACTTTCACTTTTTCAAAATAAATCCCGATGAGCACATTGTTTTTATTTTCGCGTCTTAACGAGCAAGATTTTCCCTTCAGCATGACATGCAAAGGAAGTTTTAGATTCGAAATAAAAACCCTAACAGTTTGCATTCGGCGCGATTCTTGATCTCAGACTACACATTACTGAAGTAGTGATGTCTCGTTGCCCATTTGCTTATGAGGACTAAGATATGCACAAAGGCTTTTAAAGCGGCACGTACAGAGGTATTGTTTTCTGCTCAATAAACGTTGTGTATCGCTACATTAAAATTGCCGTTGCCGTCGTGGTTATCCTGTCAAAGTACGGGTGATTCTTATACAGGAACAAAAAAAAGTCGGTATGCACTGTCCTAGTCAGTAATGCTACTTGGCCTTCGAGAAACAGACCCTACGTGAGTTGCCTGTAACTGTAAGCTTAACCTTTAACCCACCAATATCTCAGTAATAAGGACCTTTCCTCTCCATATCTACCATACATTTCCTCATAGAGTAATTGGAGTTTAACCAGGATTACAACCCTTAACAGATAGGCAGTGTTATTCCTGTTCCCTTTTTACCGGGTGATGCTTGAATGCCGTAATAGTTGATCCGTTGTTGGAGTGAAAGGGTCAGATCGTTTAAGGTCAAATGAGTGTTTAACAATAAGTTTTCTGGGCACACGTGGCAGAAAATACTTAGCCAATGTCCCTTTATGATAACAACAGGAATAAATTAATACGTTGTTAATCGCGTCAGCGATGTAATCAAAGCAATATTTTGTCATGACGGCCAAAAGAAAAGAGTCACCTCGTAAGATTTTCCGTTTGAAAATGTAGTACAATGTAATTCATTACATTCGGTTTTAAATTACCGTCAGGCTGGAATCTTTTTCCTCAGTGTGAAGGGTTTTTTCCCCATTTTAAGCCCAACATATATTCATGGTAAAATGCTCAGACCATGAGGTAATCCTCCAAAAATTGAAATTCGATTCGTTTTCCAATATTTTGACATATATTTAAAAATGATTTTTTTTTCATCAGTTCAGTTGATTTTTTTCATAAAAAATGAAAAATCCAACCAAGTAATAATTTGGTTTACTCAAATTTTGATTTAAAAGCATAGTAGTCTTAAATAATGATTTGGACGAAATGGATGACTTTCTTTTCGAAATCAAAACATTTTTGTAAAATTTTTCAGGGTCGGTATCAATTTTATGATGACGAAAATCTTGCTACACTCTAATAAATACGTTTTGATGAAATCCTTTTGTATTTCAACGTTTATGCCGCTCGTCACTGCCTCGCAACACTATCTGCTCTCAGTCTTTTCCACCGAGGTGTGAAAGTAGCTTTTTCGGTTTTTTTAATTAAAACGACTTACATGGGTGTAAATTTTTAGGAAACTTCTATTGAAAAACAACACTACATTTAAGAACTCTGTTGGTTTCTAGCTGTGTTTTGACTGCGACAAAATTTATGTCTCTGTGCTTGGAAAATTGGATGAGGCTGAGAATATTAAATTGAGGTAGCTGTTTTTGTAAAAGAAACATCATCTCTTGTTTCAATGTTTTCTAATGTTGCCTTGTTGTATTTAAAATCTTTGAAAATTGAATAATTTAAGATCTCTATAATTTATTTCCTCCTCCTTAGCCAAAATAAAAAACAGATTTTCAGAATTCAGCTTAGAAAACCTTCCTTAAAAATGGTAACTCGGTAATGATCTAGTGTTCAATTCAAATAAATAAAACAAGGATAAGGTTTTCCAAACCTCTAAAGCCCTTTTCCAAGTCGAGCCTCCGGCAGAAATTCCATGGGATGTAGGAAGGTTAGCCACAGAAATAACGATTGAAACAACAAGGAAAAGTGCCAAGGTTTTCTGCATGACTTCTTCTCTGTAGGTGCTACGGTCACTTTGACAATCGGCTTCGAATCTTTATTGATTATCGTGGTACAGTTCTGTTTTTGAATCGAAGCTGCCTTTTTATTGCCAACCCAAACAAAAGATGTGTGAAATATGCCTTCATCACTGCTGATTGCAATAAATGAACTTTCATGAAATAACAATTAAGCGGCCCCCACGCAGGCTGGCTTATACTCCCTGACAGTTAATGCTAACATAACCATTAACGGGCGTTTGAGAAAAGCTTGGTAAGAGGAATAATGACTTTTCCATCCTTTAAATGTGACAAACAAGTAAACTTGCAAACAAAGGTGGCTCATCAATGTTGGATTAGCGGCAACTGAATGATATAAGTCTTAAGTTTACCTCACCTTTGCGGTGGACATTAGTTCGAATAATTCATCGCAGCATCTTTGTCCAGTTGATGAAGCATTCTAAACAAGGTGATTCATTTAAAAACTAAGATTTTTAAAGAGTCACTAAAGTTAACTGGAGCTTTCTGTGGTGAAAAAGTGCGACAGGAAAAATGCTTAATGAAAATCTCCGATCTCCAGAAGATTTAATGCTTGTTCACTATTGCGAGAATATTTTTTCAGACATAGAAACTGTCATCAACTTTTTTTGTGGAACAGATGTTGTTTTCAATTTATTTAAAATCTGTTTTACACCTTAAATTTAATAAAGAAGTAAACATGTTTTTCCATTGGGAAATATTCTGTAGCGCAATTCAAAATTCTTTAAACAGAGGACAGATTTTAAGGCCATTGTAAAATAAAGGAGTTTTCGAGGGAAAAAAAGTTGTCACGGTTTCTGCCGATTTTACTTTTCAACCATTGAAGGTGTTTATATTAAGTTAATCTTCTGTAACCCTTGAAGATAATGTAAATTTGGCCTGAAATCTTGAATTCCTGGCGGTTTGAGAAACATTGCTTCCAAACTTGACTTTTTTGCTTTTATTGTGGAATAAGATCGTTCGGTACAGAACATCCCTGCACGTGTAAACAATTACTTTAAAGTTTTCAAGCAAAGACTTTCAATGATATCTAATTAGACTTTGATGAATTCAGAAATTTGTTCAAAATTGTGAATTATGTACATCTACGAACGTAAAAAAGAAAAAATCATGATATTTTGGTAATTTGAAACCGAACTTTAAGAACGTGAAGTGCATGGTTTTCCGTTTGTTTTTAAGTTATCAAATTTAAGCTCAGAATAAATCTTATTTTCAAGGTTTGACTTACATCATCCAAACTTTTAAGTAAAAAAATCATTTTACGTGCGATAAATTATACTTGTTAGCGTTTTTGGAAAAATCGATAAATTTTTCCTTGTTTTCGTTTTCTTTAAGGGCCTGCTCGATCATCTTCTAATGTAAATTATCTGACAAGTATCTTCGTTAAATTTTCCTAGCCTAGCAAATCTCCTTGACTTTTCTTTTTGTCAATTTGCAAAACAAGCAAACAATTTCTTCTTCACTAATGCACTGGTCTTGAGTAGAACACCGCCCACATGCAGTCCAAGTTGAATCAATTGGCGAGTCTCTCTGATCAATTTTAGTCCGACCCATCAGTTGTAATCACTTGCTGGAATTTTCTTTCGATTATCGAGAAGAGCACGCATATTTAGCGATTCACTGCAATCAAACTTACAATTTAAATGATAAACGCCTTCGTCTTAAATCCTAAAACACGAGAGCTACTATATTTGGTCTGGAGTAAATTTTAGAAGTAAAAACAGTCGCGAGATAAGATGCTTGGTATTTATCACTAGACAAACGAACAACGATTTTACATCAAGGCTAGCTAAGAATGAGTTTAGGATGAAAGTGAAAAAGCAACGGGCTTCTAACAATTAACGGAAAATATAAAAGTAAAACTATGAATAATGCTTCCTTCTAGTTCACACTTTATCTAAATTAAAAGTACGCCTTAGCCACCTCCGATGATTGGAGGTAGTCGTAATAGCTCTGTCATATGATGGAAGTTATTGCTAGATAAATTTTACTTTTAAATTTGAGCCTGTAAGAAGCAGAATCTTTTTACTGCAGTGTACCAGCAGCCACAGAGGTAAATGACCAAATTCCAAAACATTCAAAAATGGTAGAGAAAGAAATTTCGTTAAATGACACTCTTAAGACTAGATTCACCAAGAAGAATCGAAAACAGCTGTATTTTTGGCTGTGGTTTACGAGAAAATCCGTTAAGGTACGTTCGAGTTCTGAGTTAAGTTTTAATGAAGAAAGGTGTTAATGAGAGGCAGTTACTACCAGGGATAGAAGGCTACATAAAAGACTTGTGAATCATTTTAAGTTTTTGATGTTTACCGTGATCGGCAACTAATCAAAAACTTGTTTACCAGTTTTATTATTTGCAACTAAGTGATATAAGAGTTATATAAACACAATAGGAGCAAATTAACTTTCCCGTGAATGTATGCAGGACTTAAATGTCTTGCAGCTGCCACTTGTAAACGTGTCATTAACATCTGATTTTAAATCGCCAGTCAAATCTGAAAAAAGAAAAAAAAAATTGGAACAAGTAACCACAAGTTATTGTTATTTTCACTGGTTTCTGCTCTTTTCAAGCTGTGGAATATAAAGTTACCATTCATTCTGTTCACCAGGCCTTTCCTGAGTGAGAGATTGAGATTTCGTCAGTCCTTTCACCCCGGCATCCGGAGTTGATACAGTGAGTTACCAAGGTGCCATTTATCTTCTCAACATTTATTCACTTAGAGTCTTTAAAATGGCATCCTTGTACAAAAAATGAGAGTTCTGCAAACTTCCTAATTAAAACTTGATGTCCGAAAAATGATGGATATTCACAGTTTTCCGAGGCCCTTCCGTCATTTATTTGAGCCAACAGGCATTAATTCTCATTAAAGCTTTTCTGCCAAATCCGATGAGAAATGGTCCCGCACGTTGAAAAAAAAAACTTCCATTTAGTGAATGAAATTGTTAACCTGACCTGTTGTTATGTATGGCTATAGAGCAGAAGATTTGACAGCAATAATCTTCTTAAGTGCAATGTCCCTAAATGGGGCAACATAAACAATTCAAATTTGACATTTTGTTTTCCCTTGAACTTCGTTTTAAACTTCAGTCTCAAGTCCATGAATGTATCCCCAAAACAAGGGATACAACGATCTGTTCCAATTAAACTGAATTTAATCAGCCTTTCGACTCCTTAGGATGAATACTAAACACAAAGTGTTTTCAGTTAACGTGGAGCTTGGATTGAAGGGATGTGACATTGATTTGTTTTATATGAAACGTTTAAAGGAAAACTGAGAAAAAAATAATTTGGACAGAAAAATCTTGTCCACGTGAAACGTTTGTTCAATCGGTGGATGGAGTCATGCGTACAAGAAAAATGAAACTGTGAGCAAAATTTAAACTCCCAACTCCGAGTCATGTGACAAGAAAGTTTTTTTGAAGTGCATCTATAATACCGGGGTTGTAAATGCTACCTAGAATTTTAGTCTACACTAAAAAATATGTGAAATCAACGCTGAGTTCGGTGATCGGTTCCCAAAGGCCGCTTTGCGAACAGTATTTTTAACGTGGTGTTCGATCACGATAGCAGATCTGGCGAGACCTGGTGAACAGAACTCAAAATTAACCTTTTTTGAACATCATCAAACTTGTTCAAGTTGTAGTTTGAAAGCTAAAACCCCATATTGAGGAACGTATTTAAACCAAGGAGCTAACACATTCCTTAGCATGACAATACATTGTGTAAGAACTGCTGTTGAGTCTCACCTTAACTACCGTCTTGTCCCGGACCAGAAAAGGCCGTTCTCAGTAGAGAGGCGTGCTAAGCTACAAATGTTTTCTTTTTCACAGGGCTGAGTGTATTAACCAAGAAGTAAAGTGTTTATCACAGCCGGTAAATTCATAGGGCGATCAAAACGTATGAACACAAAATAAACAAACGTTAATTTAAAAGTAAACTATTCTGGCAAAAATGATTAAGTTTCAATGTGCACATGAGTTTAAACAACGTCCTTTTTTCTCATCATCCAGACATTTCAGTTTCTTCTAAACGAAATAAATCTGCCGAGCGTGGACGGGCATGCTGTTGAGCGAGCTGTTGTTCATTTTGCCTCGCCATAGGTCAGTTGTTGATAAACTGCCATAAGGCACAGGTAATACAAAGCTGTGACCATTAGTCGAAGCTCGACCTACCAATAATGGGTCGGTGATATACCTGAGCAGAAAGAGGAGAGGAAGAAGTTAATTTTAGGAGACATATTTACAAGGTACTAGCAGTTCATATTTGTAGAGAAAGTTTTTAGTGTGTATCTACCTCAAAAAAAACTTCAGTTTAATTCATCGGCGTTCTAACGTGATCTCTCCATAAATGTTGGCAAATCGTGTACTACACCATCCTCGGTTCTCAACCATAAAGACGGGTGATTAAAGCTCAAAATAGGCTGGGACGAGAGTCAGGCCCAAGCCTAACTCCTCCATATCGACGCTAGATAAATTCTTCCAATTAATTTCTTTCATGAACTAAACGAGCCGAAACGAATGCAAATTGAAAGGGATGTAGTCCAGTTTTCAAAGAGTCTTTCATCAGAATATTCTAAGCAGTTTTATAATAATCGAGGTAAAACCAACTCAGTCCGTAATATCC